GCATAGTGGTTGAGGTACTGGACACCCACATGGCTGACTAGTTTAAGTCCCAGACCTGGCGGCTTGAAATCATGCTGGACGTGTGTGCATATGTGCCCAGAACCCCAGGAGGAGAATGGAGAAGGGATTACAGTGTGGCCATCCTCCCCCAGAGGATGATTTCTCACTTTCCCTCTGTTTGTATCTCTCTGTCTCTCTCCTATCTGGCGAGTGCATGCACCTACGATCAAAAAAACCAACCAAACAAACAAACAAAAAAATACACATAGATGGTCAGTTTGCTTCCATGAGTATCTAAAACCTTTCTTACTCTTTCCTCACATCGAAGGATAAATTTGGCTGCTAGTATGGTTTGAATGTTCGTCCCCTGTAAAATCAAGCTGAAGTTTGATGTAACAGTATTATAAGGTGGGACCTTTAAGAGGTCATTAGGACATGAGGGTTCCACTAGAACCATGAGAAAATAAATTTCCATTCATTTAAAATTACCCCATCTCAGGTATTCTGTTGTAGCAGTACAGAACAGACTGTGACAGCTGCAGATAGAATTCTGGGTAGAAAAATGTTTTGTGGGGACCAGTAGGTGGTGTGGTGGTTAAGGTACTGGACAGTCCCACATGACCGACCATGGTTTGAGTCCTGGACCTAGTGGCTTGCTTTCTCATTTTCCCTTTCTCTCACTCTGTATATGTGTGTCTCTCTCTGGTCAAATTAAAATAAATGAATGAATAAATTAAATTAAATTTAAAAATTCTTTAAAAGAAAGAAAAATATTTTACAAATAATATTATCATTCTTGGTTTATTGCCTTCTTTTAAAAAAATATTTTATACCAGTGCAAAATGGACTAAGACAGTTGTGAATAGAATTTTAGATTGAAAATAATTTCCCTAATATTATCACCCTTCATTTATTGTTTTCTAATGTGTGGACTTACTTTTCTGAAGACAAATAGAATTCTAATTATCATGTCTTTTTATGAAAATACTATTTTCCTATAAAGGTTTTTAGAGGTTTCTCTATATTCCTGGTATTCTGGTATTTTGCAGTGACAACATTTTTGTTAACTTACTGACACTGAACAACCTCAATCTAGAGATTTTCATTTTTAAAATCTTCAACTATTTATTTTATAATACTTTTATACTATTCTCTGGAACATTTTTTAGTCAAATATACTTTTTTGTTACATAAATATTGCTAGTATTTGTAGTCAAATATTGAACACTCTTAATCAGAACTTTATTTTTGTATATATTTTAAGGAGATCATTTATTTAATTTTATTTATCATCATTATAATTTTTTAATTTGCTACAGGGCACATGTGCTCACCAGAGAGAGAGCAAGCCACCAGGTCTGGGACTCGAACTGTGGTCAACTATGTTTGAGTCCAGTACCTTAACTACCACGCCAGTCTTTTTTTTCTGTTTTCCTGTCTTTTCACTCTCTGTGACTATTTTTTGTCTATTCTATTTCCTGAAGTATTTCCTTAGCTTTCTCTTCCAACACTTATATTATTATGTAATAATTTATGCATACCAATTTCCAATTAGAGTTGTCTTATCAGAGTTTCCTTCTTTTTCAGACATTCTTGATGTATAGTGCAATATCTTTTCTTAATTATCTAAGAATATAAATTTCTGGTTTTAAAATTTCTTATATTTCTTTTCTTAAGAAAAAACAGCTCTGGGGGCTGGCAGATGGAGTGGTGGTTAAGGCACTGGACTCCCATATGGCTGGCTTCATGGTTTGAGTCACAGGCCTGGTGGCTTGAAATTCATGCCAGATGTGTGTGTGTGCATGCCCAAAATACCAAGAAGAGAATGGAGGAGAAGGGCGTATGGCATGGCCATCCTTACTTGGGGATGATGTCTCACTTTCCCTCTCATTATCTCTCTGCAAGTGTATGCACTCTATAACAACAACAACAAAAACCCAACCCACTCCCCCCACCAAAAAAACCCCACCCAGCTCTATTAATTTGCTGCTGTCCTTTTTTTTCTCTTTGTCTGTGTCTCCGCCTCTCTTTCTCTGTCTTTCCTTTTTTAAAAAAACATTATTTTATTGATGATAGAGAGCACATGTGTGGGAGAGAGACAGAGAGAAAAAAGCACCTTCCATAGAGTCTCCTATCTCCCTTCCCAAGCCCTCCAGATTACTCAGATCATGGGCACACATGTGTATGTGTCTGGCACATATCAGTTGACCAGGTCAGGGATCCAAACCAGTAGTTACCCATGTGACTTCCAGTATTGTAGTTTGGTATGCTGCTGATTGTGCCACCAAGGCTGGGTCTCTGCACTGTTTTTTTTTTTTTTTTTTTTTTCTCCCTCATGTTTGAGTATTTTCTTAACATTTCCATAATTTTTTTCTTTCTCTTTGTATTTAAACACTTGCTGTAAAGCTAAGAGACATCTTTGCCTTGGTCAGTTGTCTTCACTGTGGGGTGATTAGACAAAACACTGACTTTTTCCTCTGTGTGTGTTTGTATGAGGAGTAAAGACCTCCTGGAAGTAGAACATTCTGTGTACAGTGAATGAACAAGAGACCAGTTTTTACTTGTGCTAAGTTCTTTTTTAAAGAATTATTTTATTTAACTTTATTTTAATTTTACCAGAGAGGGACAGAGTGTGTGTGGGGGGGAGTGAGAAAGCAAGCCACCAGGTCTGGATCTTGAACTGTAGTTGGCTATGTGGGAATCTAGGGCCCTTAACCACCATGCCATCTGCCGGCCCCTGGTGATAAGTTCTTAATTACATTTTAAGCCACCAAGTCCGGGACTCAAACCGTGGTTGACTACATGGGAGTCCAGCGACATAGCCATTATACCAACTGCTGGTCCCTTTTTAACTACATTTTAAACTATAGCAGAAACTCTCATTTTGCACAGGGCCTGTAATTAACATACTTGCTTCTTTGAACACATGCATCTTCTCTAAAGGGAGTGAACTGTCAGGGATTATTCAAGTGACAGAAAAACTGAAGCAAAGAATGTAAATGTAGCAGGCCAGCTGGTGGTATGGTAAAGGTGGCTAGATCCCACATGACTGATGGCATGGTTTGAGTCCTGGACCCAGTAGCTTGAAAAATATTCTGGGTATGTGTGTTCGCACATCCAACATCTTGAAAGGAGAAATGAAATAGAAGGGATTGTGGCGTGGCCATCCCAGTCTGGGTGTGCTTTCTCACTTTCTCTCTGTCTCCCTCTAGTAAATTTGAAAAAACAAAAAACAAAACTCCAACTGCAGTAATACAAAATCTAAGTATAGTCACAGAGCTAGTAAATGAGGGAGTCATTCATCTTCCAGTCACTAAGTTTCATATCTGTTCATATCACTGACCTCTTTTTTTTTTTGGAGAGGTTTTCGCTATAGGATGCATGCGCTCGCCAGACAGACAGAGAGAGACAGAAAGTGAGAAATCACTCCCCAGGGGGGATGGTCACGCCGCAATCCCTTCTCCATTCTCCTCTCGGGATCTTGGGCACGCATGCACACGCACCCAGCGTGAGCTTTAAGTCACCGGGTCCGGGATGCGAACCGTGGTCGACTACGTGGGAGTCCAGCGACATAGCCATTACGCTAACTGCTGGTTCCCACTGACCTCTTTAATAAATGGCCAGATCAGTATCTTCAGTGTCTCACAGGCCAACCAACAGCAATGCCACTGAGTCTATGACTGATTAGGGTAATAAAGTCTCAGAGTGTCAATATCATGTCATTATACTGTGTGAGTCCAAAGACACCTAGGTACATTCTACTAGTCTAGTTCATTTTCCTAGGCTATGAGTTTCCAGCAGAATTCTCTAGAAAAAGTAGACAGTTACTTGCCTTTAAACTAGACTTGAATAATTTTCCAGTTAGGGAAACTGAATTTCACATAACTAGAAAGATGCCCCCAATTACTAGGAAGTTGAAATAGTGCCCAAAGTTATGCAGAGCTTGATGGAACCTCTTCTCTAGGGTGGTAGAGTGAGGCCCCGAAAACAAGATTTTCCCATTGTGACTTAGAAATGTGTTCTGTCCAATGGATGTTGTTATTGATTTTCTGGGGGTATAGAATATTTCCAGCAGGATGGTGAGAAGTGGATTCTGTTAGTCAGTTGTTTAGATTACACTCGTGATTCTGTGACTAAGCTCAGGTAAGTTTACCTTCAGCTATTTATTTGTTTTTAATTTGCTGTAGGACATGTGTACTTGCTGGAGAGACAGAAACAGAGTGAGAAATAACCCCCATAACCAGGAGGATGGCCACATTGTGATCCCTTCTCCATTTTCCTTGTAGGATTTTGGGCATGCATGCACATGCACCTGGAGTGATTTTCAAGTTGCTGGGTCTGGAACTCGAACCTTGTGTCAGCCATGTGAGATCCAGCCCCTTCAACTTTCACACAATCAGCTAATTTTTTCCCCACAGAATTATTTATTGTTATTATTATCATTATTTTAAAGTTTCTTATAGGGGATATACCAGAGAGAGAGAGAGAGAAAGAGAGAGAATGCTGCCAGGTCCAGGACTTGAATCACTTTTAACTTGCTATAGGGCACATATGTTCACCAGACAGAGAGAGGGGGAAAGTAAGAAAGCAAGCTGCCACGTCTGGGACTTGAACCATAGTTGCACACATGGGAGTCCAACACCACCACACCACCTGCTGGCCCCCTCAGCTATATTTTTTTAATAGAATTTATTTTATTCATTATTTTTGAATTTGCTACAGGACAGATGTAAGAGAGAGAGGGGAGAGAGAGAGAGAGAGAGAGAGAGAGAGAGAGGTAAAGTGAGAAAGTTAGCTACCAGTTCTGGGACTTGAACCATGGCCAGTCATATGGGAGTCCAGTGCCTTACCCACCATTCCACCTGCTGGCTCTACTCAGCTATGTTTTAATGCAAGGTTTTCCTGTTTCCTTTACAGTAAATCCAAAGAGACATCGCCGATGCCGCACAAGGTTTAACCCTGAACAACACAGAGTTTTGAGAGACATGTTCAACAAGACCATGTACCCAGATTGGACTACCACAGAGGAACTGGCTTCAACGCTCTATCTCGATGAGTCAGTGGTAAAGGTCAGTCCTGAGTGTATCTCTAGGTAGTATACCTGACCCAAACTTCCATACACACTTTTAATTATTATCACAATTCCTGTTTATTAACAATTGATATGTGCAAGGACAGGTAGTAAGCACTTTGTTTTTATATTAATTTTTTTTTTTTGCTATAGCATGTGTGCACTCACTAGAGAGACAGAGAGGGAAAATGAGAAGGCAGTTCTCTCTTACAGGAGAATCACACTGCAATCCCTTCTCTTCCTTCTCCTCTCAGGATTTTGGGTACGTGTGCACATGCACCTGGTGTGATCTTTAAGTCACTGGGTTTAGGACTTGAGCCACAGTTTGTCATGTGGGAGTCCAGTGCCTTAACCACATACCTCCTGCTGGCCATAAAAACATAAAACCACTTTATGTTTTTAGTCTGACCATTCACTTAACTGAGGAACTCTAAAGCTCACACAGAGGAACTATCTTCGAAGGATCAGCTGGAATTTGAACCCAGGCTTTTCTTTTCTTTCTTAAAGCCTTTATGTATTTATTTATTTATTTATTTTGGAGAAGTTTTTGCTATAGGGTGTGTGTGCTCACCAGAAAGAGAGAGCTACAGAGAGATAGAAAGCGAGAAATCACTCCCCAGGGGGGATGGCCATGCTGCAATCCCTTCTCCATTCTCCTCTCAGAATCTTGGGCACGCACGCACACGCACCCGGCATGAGTTTAAGCCACCAGGTCTGGGACTTGAACTGTGGTCGGCTACATGGGAGTTCAGCGACATAGCCATTACGCTAACTGCTGGTCCCAAGCCTTTATTAATTTTTGATCAGGGAACAGGACAATTTCAATGTCAACTTGTCACCTAATCATAAATTTGAACTTAACAGGATTTACTACCCTGGACACTGCACCTACTGACTTCACAAAATAAAATGATCTCCCTTCCATTCTCCAAGATTTGCATACTGGAAGAATAAACAATCCCTTGCAATAGCCAACATTGGTACTTGGCCTAGGTGTACATCACATGGCAAAACAGGAGAACCCAGGCTTTTCTGATTCCAGACCCACAATGCTACATAGGACTCTCTGAGGCTGGATATCAGATATTGCCATGTGGTTCTTTTCTCTTTATTTTTAGATTCTCCTTTATTAGGACATCATCCAGCTGCCTTGCAACTAAGTTCCCACTGATAATTCAGGACACAACTCCTGGATGAACCCTGAAGACATCCCAAACCCCGATCCCATCCCAAATTCTCAGACTTCAGAGTACTTTCTGGGCTTTTTTTTTTTTTTTTTGAGAGGTTTTTC